TAATATACTATTAATATTATTTAATATATTAAAAATTATATTATGTTTATAAATATATAATTAAATCAATTCATTAAATCAAATCAATTGATATTACAAAATTTGTGAAAAAATATATTTAAAACTATTTTTTGCTTTAATTTCTATACTATTATCTCTGTTATTAGAAAATTCAAACTATATATATTTTTAAAATTGTAAATACTTAAAATAGATAAATGATTCTTTCTTTCTATGTAATAAGCAAATATTTTTTTTGGTGTTGAAGAATTAGTACTTATTTGTTAATAACTTATTAATAGTTTATTTTAATTTTGTAAAAGATGTTGAAGTTTTTTTATGAAGACATATATGGCAATACCTTATGAAATTATGAAATTCTATCTTATTAAATATTATGTTTAAATATTAAATAAGTCTTATATAATTTTATTGAATTAATAAAGCCAAAGAACAAACATATTAAAATAAAAAAAAAATATATTTTTACATAAAAAACAAAAATATTTAGATTAAAATACATTTTTTTGATTATTACTTCATAATTATAGTTAATATATTTTATTTATATTATGTGTATATACAATTGCATTAAGCATAAATTGTATATACATATATACATATGTATACATACATATATATATATAAAATGTATATATATATATTTTTTTTCATAGATTATTTATCTTTATATAAGATTTGTATATAATTATATAGATTATATTTGAATGATTTTAATAAAATAAAAAATAATTAATGCATAATATTTTAGTGTAATTCTCTTAACATAAGGATATATAAGAAAAGGGATAATCAAAATCAAATATTAATTGAGCAATCACGAATCATTTATTTATGGTGATCGCTCTATATACAAAGTAACAGTTTTTGGTTACAATAGGTAACTCACTGTCACTGTATCGGATTTTTATAAATGTGCCATCTCTTTTATAATCTCAGCATTGATAGCAAATTACTATGATTCGTAGCACATTATTGTATCTAATTTATAGGCAGTGATGACCTGCACTGATATCAGTATTACAAATAAATACTTGACGTATAATAAAACATTGTTCGACAATGTACTGAAGAAATAATGTAATTTATCTATGTTCTTTTTCTCTAACTGTAATTGATTCAATTAAAAATATTGATGCTTGATAATTAAGCTAGTCCATATTTCTTCTTGAGAGATTCTGGCATTTCTGGTGGGGGTGGGCGGGGCATACGAAGCCATACTTTTACTGCATCGTAAATAAACCATTGTGCTGCTGTTAATGTACCAATCATAACAATTCGAGGACCAAGACCTTTCCATACTCCACCAAAACCAAGTTTCCTTAAAACATCAACAGCTGATGCTCCCTTTTCTTGATTCAATTTTGATACAACCTACAAATATTTGAAATATATATATATATATATTGCATTAACAATATTAAATGAATAAAATAAATAAAGTAGAAATAAATATGCATCATATAATACACTCACAGAATCAGCAGGATGAGATACAATTGCACAAAATACACCGGCAATATATCCTGCAGCAAAGGTAACAACCAACTGTTCACCTTTTGAACACTCTTGTCTTGGTTTAGGAACTACATATTTGTATAAAAGTTCAAGTGTACGTTCAAAACAAGCGAACTTCATCATTGTATATGGAATTTGACGAAGCCATAAAGGTACAAGTCCTTTATAGAACCCAGTAATGCCTTCTTCTGCATATATCTTTGGCATAGCTTCTCTTAAAGTATTTGCAAATCCTGGTGTAGTTTGAATTTTAACCTGCAAAAATAATAAACTTCATATATTATATACATAATACATATTTTAATTTTAATTTAATTTTTCACAATAATTGTTTAATAAAACTTGCAATAAATATAATATTGAACATGATGATGAGGCAAAAATGAGAATTAAAAGATAAAGAATAATGAAGAAAAACAAAAAAACAATTCTATCTTATTTATAAAACTAACTATAAAAATACATAATGTGAACATGGATTATTTTTATGTTATAAAAGACATAATATATTGATTTAATTCCTTTTCTTAAAAAAAATATTAAGAAAATTATATTAATTATTAAATATAAAAATAATTTATAATTACTTTAGCAGCTTCAAGAGGAGCTAAACCAATATCAGCAAAAAATTCTGCAGATGCTGAAGAAATTAAATACAAAGATGTCCTAAATTCATATGCCATTTCTTCTCCAGCAAGAGCCGAGTAATATACTTTAAAGACTTCATAAAGTCCAAATTTAAACATTCCTTGGATGGAATAACCAAAGAATGTTGGAGCCCATCCTTTAACCAAACCTCGAGTTCCATCTTCCGCCAAAGTTACCTAAATAATAAAATATTTGAAATTTTAGTTAGTTTTAATTATATATATTATTTATGCTATTAGTTATATTTATATTTTGTTCAAAATATAATTAAAAATAGATTGCTCACTCGGAATCCATTAAAAACTGATTTGTATTTTGCAGGATTTACTTGAATACGACATTTTACTAAATCCAAGGGAGTAACCAAAGTATGTGTAATACCACAAGACAAAATACCTCCCAAACCACATAGCATGAAGTACTTATTTGATCCAAATTCACAGCTATCTATACATAAAAAAGAATTTATAATCTATATATTAATTTATATAACATAAATACTACATATTAATACTAAATATCTCAAGTATATTTAAACAAACTATATTTAATGTTTAAACTATGTTTAAACATGAATGATAAATTTGTCAATAATTATTTATAAATATAATCCATTCATTAAAAATATTTTTCAAATGATTTTAATGAATAATTTTCAAAATAACATTTATAAACTGAATTTAATTTATTAGTCAATATATTATATCATATAACTTTTATTTAATAAACAATAAAAATTATCACTGATCAGCTGTTCAAAAGTGCGTGCAAAATTCGAATTTGGCAGAATTTCAAAATTATGAATGATATTATTTTGGCTTAACCTAATAATAAACTTTTCAAGTACAGTAGGATATCTTTAATTATTTCTCGGTTGCGGCCACTGTACTAATGCAGGCTATTATTTTTATTCAAATGTTAACCAAGGCTACGACGACGACATTCGCATGCGCAATTTTCGACAAAATGGCTACTTCTTATGCAATCCTTTATATTGCAAATCAAACATAAAAAATTCTTCATTGATCCATTTTAAAATATTTTGTATTAATAACTATACTAAAAATGCAATAACTTTATTGAAAAATACATTGAAACCAAATAAATACATATAAAATGGTATTCTTAGTACATAATTATATGCCATGCGGTCAAATCTATATTCGTTACATAATTTGATATAATTAAATTAAACAAATTATAATTATAATAAAATAATTATTTATCATGAAATTACAATTTTATTAATATTTAAATTTTTTAGAAAATAAATAATTTTTAACATTAATTTTTATAAATTAATCAAAATAATCAATTAATATTAATAAGATTATAAAAAATTACAAAGAATACTAGAAATAATATTTTAGATTATATAATATTCGAAAATTTTTTGAAATACGATTAATTTTTTTGATCAAAAAAAATTTTTTAATTATTTAAATAAATAATTAAAATATATTATAATCAATAATTTATATATAATATTGAATAATTTTTTTATAAAAAATCATGAATTAAAATCAATTAAATTAATTAAATTATATCAAATTACTTGCAAATTACTGACCGCCTGATGCGACAGAGGCAGCGGCAATGTGACGATTCTTAACCAGTGCTTGTGTTAGTTCATTTTGTCTCTGACATGTAGTTGTCACGAACGGTGTCCCAAATGGATTCATTTTAGCTGCATCCAATATTGAGGGCCACATTTTGTATCTATCACTTCACTTGCATCCACTACTAATTGATAACAATTTCTATACAATAATTATATTAGTTTAAGTTATTGGATACAAAAGTACGACTCTCGTCTCCGACTAATACGAAAAGAGTGATACAGACTTCAACGGTAACGAAATCCGTTTAGTAACTTAAATCATTGATTATTATACTGTAAGTAAGAAATCAAGTTTTTGCACAATAATGCTCTCTATTGAACACTATGTGAACTAAACAAAATTTCACTAAAAGTCAAACTTCAAAATATTCTGAAGCATCAATTCTATTTCAAATATATTTTTAATGATTATTACTTTACAATAAAAGTAAATATATATATATTATATATATTTTTTATAATAATTATAATACTTTTTAATAAAAGTAATTTATAATAAAAGAAAATAAATTACAAAATACATAAAAAATTATGTATACTTTTATTAATTTACAAACTTTAAGATATACAACAAACAAAATTCCAAAATTATTATTTCGTAATAAAACTAAAGCATGTGCTTCAAATGAATTAACAGATCTGGTAGATCCAGATATGGTAATAAATTATTATAAATATATTATGTTTTATGAAAATTGTACAGAAAAATAAAAATTTATATTATTTTTTGATACAGCCAATTTCGATTGAAAATCCATATAAAAAGAAGCAGCAATTATGTATTTTATGTAAATTAAACATCGAACCTGATTATAAAAATGTACGTTTATTATCTCAATTTCAAAGTCGTTATACAGGTAGAATTTATGAAAAACACATAACTGGATTGTGTGAATACAAACAGAAGAAAGTAGAACAAGAAATAATAAAAGCACAACATGCTGGTAATAATATTAGTTATATTTATTGTTTATATGTATTTTATAATATTTTATAATATTTCATTATTTTTATATTTTAGGTTTAATGGGTTATATGACTAAGGATCCTAAATTTTGCAATGATCCAATGTTATTTGATCCTAATTTTCCATTTAAAGCACATAAGTATTAAATATGAAATACAAATTAAATTAAATATATATATATATAAATATATATGTATTATAAAAATATAAAAACAAGTAAAATAATATTATATATTATGTTTTCTTTGATATTTATTCAATTAATAAAATGTATCATCATCAATAGAGAAACAAACTATATCAGGATTAATATTAAATAAAGATAAAATTTCAGATAATTTTACTGGTTGATCATTTTTTTCTTGTAAACATTTCTGATAATCAATAAGAGCATTCTGACAACATGTTGTCCATTTTTTTATAACACTTTCTAAATTTTCAGCTTTGTTCTTTAATTATAAATATTTAAATTATTAATATTTAATATAATAAATAAATTTTAAATATAATTAATATTATCTTTTACCTTTTTCTTATATAATAATGTAGTTTTTAAAATTTTAATAGATTCTTCTTTTTCTTGTATTTTTTTCTTTAATAATTCCAAGTCTATTTGATACAATTTATTTTTTATTTTAATATCTGTTTGTTTATTATTATTTTCTTTATTTATACATAATTTTTTAGGAGAAGGTGTTTTTTGATAAATTAGTCTTTTTGCTATGGATACTTTTCTAATAATGAAAATTTTTTAATAATGAAATATTATTATTAATGAGATTATTCTCAAATTTAAAAAATGTAAATGTAATAATTTTTCTTTTTATTATAATTATACTTACAATGGTGTTTCATATGTGGTTAATTTTGAGATATTTATATTATCACTACTTTGGGGTGTACTAAATGGAGAACGAAAAGGTTTATTTACACCTTTTCCATTTTTAAATGGCTTAGCATTCATACTCCTGAAAATAATATACTTAATTAATATAAATAATGCTACTTACTTTTTATATAATAAATAATTCAATTAAATATTATTTTATATTAAATATTATTATTTCTATTATAAAAATATATTTTTCTTTATAATTATATTTAATTAAATAATAATTTTATGAAGTATTTTATTAAGTAACTTCAGATTATTTAATATCAATAATATATCAATATTTTATACGATTTTTATCTATTATATTACATTTTATACGATTTTACTTCTTTTTTAAAGAAAACATGTTTTGATGAATGTTATCATTTTATCTTATTCTAAATGTAGTATAGCTAATTTATAATATTTTCTTAAATATAAAAATAACATTCTTAAGTTGCAATATTTATATATCAACATAATAATTATAAATATATTAAATATAAATTTAAAACAAATAATTAGAAATTTTGAATTATAATTTAACATGAATTTAATATATGATGTTTTTAATATTAAGTTTCCACTCTACGTTTATATAGCTCATTGTTATACTTCATTGTACTCTAACCTCTATAAGCGTGAGACGCCGACTAAATACAATTGTTTAGTACACAAAAAGTACTATTAAATATAATATAATAATTATACCATTATTTTTAAAAATTATTTGAGTAAGTTTATTTAGTTTTATTATTATATCGATTTTATATTGTATAGAATTTATATAATTATAATAATTTCTAATTATTAATATTTATTTATGAAGATGTTAAAAGTATTTTTTATATTAAAAAATTTTTTCATTTACAATAGCAATGGATATTAGGCCAAATAATACAATTTATATTAATAATTTAAACGAAAAAATAAAAAAGGATGAATTAAAAAAATCCTTATATGCAATTTTTTCTCAATTTGGTCAAATATTGGATATTGTAGCTCTAAAAACATTAAAGATGCGTGGACAAGCATTTGTTATTTTTAAGGAAATTGCTAGTGCCACAAATGCTTTACGATCAATGCAAGGATTCCCATTTTATGACAAACCAATGGTGAATGTTAATCATAAAATAACTTTTTATTAATTAAGTAATAAAACGTTATATTGTTATAATTAATTTTATTTTAGAGGATACAATATGCAAAAACAGACAGTGATATTATTGCAAAAATGAAAGGCACATATGCAGAACGGCCTAAAAAACCAAAACGAGTTGTACCTGCAGCTGATGAAGAAGCTAAACGTGCTAAGAAACGTGCTAAAGAACAAGCTAAACATTCACAGCAAATTGGTTATCATACTGGTGTACAACAACATCCAGGTTTAGTCAATACAGCTGTACCTGAACAACCACCAAATCAAATTCTATTCCTAACAAATCTACCAGATGAAACCAGTGAAATGATGTTATCAATGCTTTTTAATCAGTTTCCTGGTTTTAAAGAAGTACGTTTAGTACCAAATAGACATGACATTGCATTTGTTGAATTTGAGAATGAAGTACAATCAGGAGCTGCAAAAGATGCTTTACAAGGATTTAAAATTACACCTTCTCATGCAATGAAAATATCATTTGCAAAAAAATAAAGTAATAGTATGGTTTGTATAAAAATATTGTTAACAAATGGAAAAATGTGTGCGTGTTGAAATAATCTTATTTAGAAATTTATAAAAATACAAAATACAAATGTAATTAAAAATTTTTCGGACGAAAATTTATAAATATAAGTTAAAAATATGCTATATAAATTCAAGAATCACATGTGTACAAAATTTTACATAATGTATACATATAAATCAAACTTCTCACTGTAAATAGTAATTAAAAAAATATATATCATTTTTTCAGCAATACTTTAGTTACATAAAATTACTTTTAATTTAATTTGATAATAATTTAAAAACCTATAAAAATTTATTTTTCCATATAATATAAATTAATTTAAAAAATTACTATAATAATTTAAATTTTTAGTTTCTATCTTGCATATTAATTATTAATTTTCACTTAATTTTTTTTTATATTAAAATTATTAAAAATATGTATAATTAGCATTATTAAAAAATATACATAATTAATATTATTGAAAATATTTTAAAATATAAAAATAAAAATTACATATTTTTAAAAATATAGATAAATATTAATGTTATAATGTATTGTAAAAAAATTTTTAAGTAATAATTTTCTCAAATATAAAAAAATTTATATATAATAATTTTATGATTGTATCTATAAATTAATAATAATTTAAATTAAGATACGAAATTAATATACACAATATTCTTTTATTGTATATTGTAATTATATTCCCGCCAAATAACAGATCTTATAACTTTCATAAATATTATTATTCATATAAATTTTTTGATATTTTATAAAAGAAGAAAATAATTAATAAGTTTTTAACATTAAAAAATTCTTTTTATAATAAATAATAAGAAATTAAGATAAATACGATTTATGAAAAATTGTGACTTTAAGTAGTATCATAACATTTTGGCGGGAATCAGTTGGCGTGTTGTGTAAAGAGTGGGGGAATGCTTCTTGAGATAGAGAACGAATCGGAGTACAGTGTATCATCTCGATCAGGTCAGTCGCGTCTCGCTATTCGCGCAGTGAATTGTGAGTTGTTGCGTTACAAGGTGCTTTCAGAGTTTGCTTCGTGCAGTCGACGCGCGCGATAGTATTAAAAGGACGCTGAGAAAAGAAAAATTAGATAACTTGCGTTCTGGACATTCATAAAAGAATATTAAACATTTTAATATATAACGTATATAGAAAAGCACTTAGTCCCATTTTCTTACAGTACGACGCGCGCGCCGACTGAACGATTGCCTTTGTCTTCATATACACGAGAAATTTTGAGGTGAGTGCTTGTCAATGACTTTTTCTCCAGTAAATATTAGTCTTTCGAATGGTATACGTATTCATTGTGTTGAAAGATTAAGAAACTCATAAATGATTTTTTCAACGATTTTTTAGTCAATCTTTTACGCGGAACCAATTATTACTTACAGAGATATTTATTCATTTTCTTATAAAGAAATTGGTGATGGACGCTACCACGACTCTGGTGTTGCCATGATTTGTCGATCATGGCGTCCCTAGCAGCCAAGTGACGCTATTGTATGTGTTCCAAATAGCGGTTTTCCATACAGTTATTTTTTCTTCATATAAAAAAATATTAAAAATTGTCACTTCCGTTATTATTGTGTAACTTGTCCAAAATTATATATATGAAGAAATTAATAATATATAGGTTGTTTAATATATTTGAAAATGGCGGGCGCGGACATTTCAGAAAGCTCTCATTTATTGTTGTAAATAATTTTTTTTTCTAAATTAATAATGATAATAATTTATTATTATTATTATTATTCTTTTGTAAGAAAAAATTACTTTTAATTTATGTATGAAATTATTAAAATATTAGATATAATTAATTTCGCATAATTATTTTATTCGGTTACAATTAACCGGTTACAAAACCGCCACCTAATGATGTTCGATATGAATGTATTAGGCGCGTAATTTGTTAAACTTTACTATTGCTCATTTTTTACTTATTTATAGTAAAATCTATATATACATGGTTATCAAATTGCTGTTTGAATTAAAAAATTTTGAATTAAATAAATTTTATGAGAAATTTTAAAAATCGATAATTATACAAAACTTTCTATATTTCCCTATATGGAACTTTTTATATTTTCAATATAAAATTTTTGAATATTTTATTTCAAAGTGTGTGGTAACATAATATTAAATTTTATGATAAAATATAAATATAAATATTACATATTTATTTGTAAAAAATATATGTATATAATAAATTAAGAGTACAGAGCCTTTTGACGTAAATTCGTTTTCGTTCATCTTTGTATTTTCCTTCGAAATTAATCTATCAAATTTTGCATTAAAAGTTAATAATTATAAAATTACTACACACATATATATAACTAAAAACTTTTGAATTAATGTTTATATTGTAAACAAAATTTTTAATTATACAGTGATATAAAGAATTAAAAATGTCAGACGACAATTCGCCTGTTGTCGAGGAACAAAAGAAGAAACGAGGTAGACCAGCAAAAACAGATAAGAATACTGTTAAAGAACCAAAAAAGAGAGGCAGACCTGCCGCAGATAAAAATAATGCAGTACGCACTGCAAAATCAGATAATGAAGATGATACATCGCCTGTACCTGTTAAAAAAGGAAGAGGGCGACCAAAAGGTTCTCATAAAAAAAAGGTATGCATATTTTTCTTTTAAATTAAATTATTCATATAAATAGTATTATGGAACTCATAATAATGTTATCTGAGACAATCATTTATAAAAATTGTTAATAAATGTTATCACTTTTTTTATTATATTTTAATTTTAGAAAGTATTAAAAAAGAAGTTTTATTTATTTTTTTTATAATAGATAAAAAGTTAAAAAATATGTTATTATAGCAAGGTTCACCTAAAGGAAACCCTTCAGGACGAGGTCGTGGTAGACCTAAAAAGAAAGAAGAGAAATTAGAAAGTACTGGAGAAGAAGAAGATGAACAGGAAGAAGAGGAAGAAGAGGAGGAAGATAATTAAATGTAAAAAAATAAATTCAATGTATGAGAATTATTCTTTGAAAGTTTTTAAAAAACTGATAAATTTAAAACTTATAAGTTTGCTTTTTATATCATAATCTGCAAATTGAAATAGTAAAGTGGTAACACATTAGTTTAAAAAAAACTGCTCAAATTCCAAGGAAGTTATATGAAAAATATAATTTGTGATATGTTTGCAAAAAAAATGCACTGCAACATGGGTTGAGAATATGTAAAGCACTTTGTAGTATTTACCTTATATGTTTTTATTATAATTACTATTAATATAATAATTATTATTAGTATTATTTTTATTTGTATTATTATCATAATCATTATGTTTTAAGTATTAAAATAAAATGTACAAGTATTTTAATGAAAAAAATTTTAAACTAAAAATTCAGATCTCATAAACTAACTTGGAATTAAGATGAAGACTTTATCTAACTTTAAGGTGGATGGTGTATAATTACATCATATATTTGTTACCTTCTTTGCTCCTATGTATATGTATTATAATTCTTAAAATCTAAAACTTCATACAAATTTAATGCTGTACTGTAATACTTCTTGTGTAAGTATATCATGTACAAGAAATGTTCTTTTTTAATTACACTTAAACAAGTGAACATTAACATTTTTGAAACAAGCATATGTGTGAATGTCAAATTTGTATTGAAATAAATAAACTTATAAAATGATTCTCTTATTAATTGTTATATGACATAAACATATACCTGCGATATATTTTCTACACCAAAATTGTTATACTTTTAAAATTTTTATACATTATTGCTAAAAAGATATTTTGCATGAAAGACAAATACATTTTGAAATTTCTTAATTTTTCAATATTACTTAATAAACAGTTAGAGAAAAGAAAATTAACATTATAATGTATAGATTTATGTATAATTATTAATTAATAGAAACAAAATTGTTGGTAACATTTGGAAATATATTTGTTTCTTTATGTTGAACATTAAATATCTATTTTTTTCTTATTCATTAGAATCTTTCATATTAAAAATAAATAGAATAAAATTTAAATTTCTCATTATAATATTAAAATTTTTGACAATCTACATTTTATTTTATTAACACTTATATTTTTAGGAAAGGATATAAAAAAAAAATATACATAAGTAAGGTTTAAGCATATAGGAAAAATTGTACATTTGAAAAACTGTTATAAACAGAATACAATGAATATAAATAATAAAATAAAAAACTGTTATAAACAAAATACAATGAATATAAATAATAAAATAAAAAACTGTTATAAACAGAATACAATGAATATAAATAATAAAATAAAAACTGTTATAAACAGAACACAATGATTATAAATGACAAAATGAAGTCTCCATCATTTTTGTTTTTTTACTTCTCTATTATGAAATTATTAAATTAAGCATAAATTCATTTTATGGATATTATATTAAAATAAATAAAATAAATCCTAATCCATTATCACAATTCTAGAAATATATTTAAACTCTAATGTTTAAATTTTTTTGAAATATTTTTTCATATATAAAATTTATGAATTTGAATTTTATCTTTTAAATTGAAAGATATGTACAAACTATTTCATTAAATAAATAGAAATCTACTAAATGTGATTTTTAATCTAAGACAATTGTAAGTAATACAAAGTTTTTAAACTATTATAAATGCTTTGTCAATGATTTCCAAAGAGTTCAGCATTTTCTTCTGTATCCATAGATTGATATCCTTGCTGTAATGTAAAATATTTTAATTTTAATAAAATATTTATTAATTTGAACATTATAATTCTTACACATACACGTCTCTGATGATTATTGTAACATTCTTCTAATAATTCAGTTTCCCAATCATCTTCTTCTTCTTCACCAGGATCAAAATTATACATTGGCATAAGTCTGTGTCTTAAACGTTCCAATTTTCTTTTCCTTGATATAATTATTACCTTTAAAACCATAATATATTATTAAAATATTTGCATTTTGTTAAATATTACAAAATAAATAAATATTTAATAGTAAAAGATTTTACTTTTAGGATTTTACTAATAGGAGAAGCTACAAACTAACAAAACTTTAAATATAATATTACAACATTAATTTGCCAATAAACTATATTACAAAAAGGTAATAATACCTAAAGTAGAAATATTTATCCAAGTATTATAATTTGATGAATATTTTTTATTTTATTTTTTTGTTTCTGCAAATAGAAGTTAAAAGAAGATTATAATTTAAATACAAAAGTGATATCGCTACCCATACCACAGCTGATAATATAATAACAAAGACCACTACACCAAGTGGTACAAAAATGTATTCTATTCCATCTGGAGGTCCAAATTCATCAAAAATTTCTGTTGTTGTAGATACATATATATTGGTACTTGAAGCTTCAAAGGAAATTACTGTACTATTGGGCAATGACGTTATGGCCTTAGAAACATTCCATAATTGAATATTTCCATTTTCTTCTGTAGAATTCATATATGTTTCAGATATTTCATTTGATGCATTTGTCATTGTATTAGTATAATTTTGAACATTATCAAGCAACATGCCAGATGTTATTGAATTTGTAACACTTGTATTCATTTCATTCATTGTTATTAATTAGAAAACAACATTTGACTTTTCATGAGAATAATTCTATATATATTTTAAAAAATTCATTAATATGTACATTATTTATGTTAGAAATTAAACTTTTTTAAAATATACAATGATATACAATTTGATTCTATTATCACTTGTCTATTTTGTTATACAAAAAACGATAAATAAGAAGCATAACAATAAATACGTTATTATCAATACATTAATATATCATTATATGAAACACTATGGTTCTATATGCTTTAAATGGACATGTACGAGTATATCACTTTATCTCACATATTTGTAATTATGAATTATAAATTGTCTAAAATAAAAACCATATTTATCGATTTGAGTTCGTAAATGAATAAATAATACATCTTGATGATGATCGTATTATAATATTTATAAAATAATGTAATAAAAAATTTGCTCCATTGAAATGTCGCAATTTAATTTTTGTGCACGTTTTTTTAAAATTTTTTTATTTATTAAGAATTTATTGATTATTTGCAACACACTGATAAAAATATTAAAATATTTAAAAAATACAACATATTTTCATTTTTTTTATAATTGAATTGTTGAAATAAATATTTTTCATTCGATTTATTAATTTTGCAAATAGACCATAGTTTAATTAGGGACATGATATTCATTCTTTACACAAAGAGAAATTTGATTATGTCTTTCTTTTTAGTTTTAACATTTCATTTTAATATCGCAATGCGGCTTTTTCACATAAATGCACTATATATGAAACATATATTAAACTATCGAACTATTCTGAACTGAAACGTATTATTTATCGATTTCTTATCGAGATATTTTTTATATCGATTTTAATATCTAATTAGGTTTGAATAAAAATAAAAAAAGATTAATAAAAATATTAATACATATTATATACTTTTTAAATTATTTGTTAATGTGTTTATTATAACACATAATGTTACATTGAGAAATATCAATTTTTATCTTTTAAATTGAAAATAAATTAATAATTTATATTCACATAATTCTTAATAAATAAGAATATTATTTTATATAAGATATACAGTATATTTATTATAAAATTTATTATATAATTATTTATTTTAAATTCGTAAATAGTTTATATAAATATTATTTTGTACAAAAAATATAAAAAATATATAAAAAATAATTAGAATTATTTTTAAATTTAACTATACGCAAAAAAAATTGCATTTTTATTAAATATATTAATAAAAAATAAATAAGTAGATGAAATATAATTAATCAATAACAATTTTGTTATTTGCTAAAAATATGTACATTTTAATAAAATTAAATTATGTCATTGAAATATAAATTTAATTTCTTAGTTTTAATCATCTAAATTTATTATTGATGTTTAATTATTGAAATAAATTCTTTTTTAACTTTTTTTTAATTAGTTATTTTTAAATTCTATTTTCATATTTAAATTTCGATTTATTATAATGAATAAAAATATTTTTAATACATTTAAATAATTCACAAATGATACTACAATATTTATTTAGAAAAATATATTTTTGGGAAATTACATAAAATAATTGTGTTTTTACATATGAAATTCATAAATTTCTTTCTTTATTAATTTACCAATAGTATGAATTATTTAAAAAAGTTCAACAATATTTTTTTATATAAGTACTATCTTATAATAATAACAAAAATATTTAACACTTTTTGTACTAAAAAAACAGATCTGTAGTGAAACATGTATTTTACAACAAACATAAGTTTGCAAGATAAAAAAAGAATAAAAATTATAAATATATAACAAGGAAAAGTATTAATAAAAATTATTTTACTAATATTCGAAAATCTTGCATTCAATATAGAAAATAGGAAATTTCAAAACAAATTATAATACATAAGTTTTTTAGATATAGACATTGAAAAAAAATCAGTATTTTAGTTTCTCTGTTCAAATGTAATTAAAAAAAAAGTTGAATTTTTCACACAATCATTATAATAAATAGTTTTCATTGTTTTAAGTGTTCAAAATATATTACAACTTTTATAGTGCTTATACTATAAAATCATTTGTATTTGCATTTCCTAAATCTTAATTATATTAAGTTTTGTTAAAGTTTTGTTACCATATATCTGCATTTTGTTTCATATTTTACAATTGTTTTTTTCATTAATTTGTTTTTAACAAGTAAGAGAACTGCGCGAAACAAGATATCAGTCATTATTAGTAAATAAAATGATATTTGTAATTTTATATTCATTTTTTATACAATAAAGTTACTACATAAATTACATTATTTAAATAAATCATTCACAAAAGAAAAAATAACAAGTGTAAATAGTTATGTTATTTGTTACTTTGTATCACTGAAATTTTTTATGAATGATTGAAATATTTTAAATATTGAGCTTAATATACAATACAAAGTTAATTATATTTTTCATAAATTCAAATTTACGAAAGTGTAAAAAGTTTTATTTAATTAAACTTTTGAATTTATTGTTAGTAATCTTAATTATCGCATATTGTATTTTATTGTGAATTTATTAAATATTTATAAATTTTTTTTAAAATTCTTGATTAATTACAATAAATTAGAAGGAAAATCTTGTGTTGTTCATTTTCATTGTTTCCAGCAGTTCTTTTATAGTATAAATCTACCGATACACAAAGATTTAGGAATCTTTTTAAGTCTTGATAAAGGTACATAAGATGAAATCCAACACAATATTATAAATCCATTGCATAATTAAAAAGCTATCACCTGCGACGGATTTGTACAATCTCCTATTGTCATTCTGTACATAGCCATTTCTGTTATTCCATGATAATGAACAAAAGCTGCTGCAATTACTAACACATGGAAGATTTGATGACTCTGAAACTGAATAATATGATAATTTAAACATTTTTCAATAATTTAAATTATACATTTCAGAAATATAAAAATATTTACCCAAATATCAAACTTGCCAGGGAAAAATCGTTCAGGTACTCTTAATGCATAAAACATTGCACCTAAGATATATAAACATCCCATTAATATTAACCATCCAAGAGATGCTTGACTAATTGCTTTAAACCAACCCTCTGCAATAGCATAATGAACTGCTGGTATTACCTAAAAAAAAATATATAATATCTCAATAATTATGTATTATTTAACACAATCTATTCTTCTTCTTAAAATTTTAATGTTTTTTGATACAAGATTATATAATATAAGTATTATATATTATATAATATAAGATCATATAATATAATATAATATAGTATAATATAATATAGTATGATATAACTTACCCCACTAAGACCAAATCCCATAAAAACACCTGCTCTTAATGGTCTATAACTTGGTTCACCAAATCGTTCCCAGAACGATACAACTATACTTGTTACACCAAGTATTACAACCACTGATAAATAAATAAGTTTAGGTTGATAATCACAGTAAAAACCATAGTAAAGCCATGGTACAAAACTACCCATAATTAACATAGCTATTCCACAATAATCTAATTTTGAAAATAATTTTCCAACACATTCGCTATGGCAGTGTACAGTATGAAAGGCAAATGACATTCCTAAACATATAATAGCACCAGCAAAAAAGGTACCAAATACCAATTTTTCTTCCAATTGTATTTCTATAGGAGGTTGTGTTATGAAGAATATAGCTATACCAATAAATGCCATGCATCCTATAAAAAGAATAAAATATTAATCTGTTAAAAAAATGCTAAAAAAAAAAAAAAATATCATTAAAAATAAAAATTAAATTTCACCAAGTAAATGAGTCCAAATATTTCCAGTTTCTGTATGAATACGAAATATACTTTTGAAACAAGCATAAAAAGATGGTAAAGGTGGCCTATGGCCAGCATGTAAGAAATCATTATCTTGTAACCATTTTGGAAGATTTCTGAAATGACATTGCTTCCATGATGCTTCCCAAACCTTAAAAGAATAATAGTATATAATAATAATAAAAAAATAATCAGTAATACCTTGAAAAATAATTTCTTAATTTATAAAATAAAAATATAAATATATTTTTTTATTTATATTAATTATATATTTTATAATTACCTTACGAACAAATTCCTCTGCTTGTTCTGCAGCATTATGAGCTAATGCACCAAGATCAATTTCATCACTTAACACACCAGCTTTTAATACTTCTGTCATCTATAATATATATATATTAAAATATGTAATATGATCATATTTATATTAATTAATGCATAATAATTTATTATTAAAATACAAAATAAAATATAATAAAATAAAATAAAGTAAAATAAATAGAATAAAATATGAAAAGTATAAATAAGTATAAATATGCAATATGTATAAAATAATTTATTGTTGAAGTAAAAATATAAAATAACTATTAATAATAATTAGAATTATAATACCTCGCAATCCAAAAGATGATCATCTTCAGGAGTGGAAGGTAATGGACAACCAACTCCATCTTCTTCTTCTGCTAAACAACTTGCATCATCATCTTCTAATAATTCCTTAACCTCATGTAAACCTGGTACTTCGCTATTTAATAATACACGCTCACTCCATGGAATTCTATGTCGAATTTCTGTTTCTGATACTGCATTATCATCTTTCCTTTTGTCTTCCACAATGACATCTTCGTATTGTGACATATTGTGGAATTATAATTATTAATTTCTAAAATGTATCAAATTATTTTAAAATAAAAATATTATAATTTAATATTAATATATATGTTTTTCTTTTAATGTAAATAGTATAATGTAATAGAAAAATATTAAAAATAATAAAAAATTAATATCAAATATTAATGATACAATATTAAATAAAGATTTGTTGTTATTGTTGATGTTAATTAAAATTTTCTCGATAATAAATAAATATAATTCAATTTAATTGTAAGAACCAATTTAAAATAAAATGAGAGAAATAATACGATAATAAAATATTTAAATTAGCAATGTTCATGAAAATAAAAAGTTTTGTCGAGCGTTGTATTATCTAATTACAATATCATTTTTTTAAAATAATAAGATTTTAGATAAGTCACGATTCTTTATTATAATGGATTATATTAAATTTATACATACAATTATTACGAAAATTAGCGATAATTTAATTAATACGCAAAAGTTGTCTTTGAATGGAATTAGAAATTACATTGAATATATCATTAACAGTTTTATATATATATATATATATATATATATATAATCATATAATAGCACTAAAACATATTTTAAAATCTTAGTTTTATAAAAACAAGAAAAACTAAAATCAAATAATTTAATGAGGATAATTAACCGATCGAATACAAGATTGTATTTAATACATACATTATATGATAATTCTTTCAATTATTACATTGACACCGTAAATATTAAAAATTTTGCAATAGTAAACAAACGAAAATAATTCAAAACATATTTTTAAAAGATGAAAATGATTCTATACAAGTACTTACTAATTTTAGTTGTTCATTGCTACGACTATAGTCGAAAACACCCGAGTACTAGACACCACGTGTCAACATTTATGTGTTAATTATCAGTAATGATATCTACTTTGTGTCATAATTTGTTATCCATTAAAATATAAATTTTATAACTATATCAAAATGTATATTAAAAGCTGATCAAATGTTAATTTAATTTATATTATTTTATGATATAATATGATTTAATTAAAATAATATAAAGAAAATATTTATTGTAATATATAAATTTATTTTTATAATATAAAAATGGAATTAGAAATTATATCGAATATATTTTTGCATATTTTAAATTAAAAGTAATAAAATTTTTAATTTATAAATATTTAAATATTTTTCATTATAAATACAATAAATTATGCAAAATATATGAAAAAATAGTAATATATAATTTTTAACTTTTAATTTAGATTTTTATATATAATTAAAATAAAAAATATGAATACGAATGTGTAAAATAGAAAATGTGTCATATATATTATAAAAATAATTTATTTTTTAGATTATATTATTGGCATTAAATTAAAAAATAAAAAATAAAAAATTTTGATTGTGAAAATAAAATTATAGATTATAAAAACACTTGCTGAATGATGCAGATACTTAAACAATATGATTACTAAATATAAAGTAATAATTGCAATTGTAAATTGTAAAATTTTTATACAATAATTCTTTAAGATAACCTAGAATATTGATAAAATTAAGACTAATGAAATATATGTTATCTCATAATTGTAATCTATTTAACAAAAATTTATGAATTTAAATTATTTAAATCAAAATAGTTTATATATTATACTTATGTTATAAAAAATGTTATTTATTTAAAATATTAAATTATTATAATATATTAAAAGTATACAAATATAGTATAAAAATTAGGATGATTTAGAAAAAAAATTTTAATTTAAAAAGAATTATTAATTATTCAATATTATGTGTTTTAATTTTTATATAATATAATATAATTTAATTTATTATTTATTATTGTTTATTATTAGGATATATTAAATTTTATTAATTAAAAAAGAATGTTGAAATAAATATTTCAAAAAATGATTCTAGAAACTGGAATATTATCAAAATTTTTATATATTGCAATTGTAGTTGCAACATATTGGTAAGTTGAAATAAATTAGTTTTTTTAATGAGATATTTTATTAGATTTTTGATAATAAAAACTAATAGTCTATTTTTTATTAACATATATAATTCATAATTTTTAGGATAATTTCTATATTAACAGTATTTATAAATAAAGTTCTTTTATCCAGTCATACTATAAATTTGGATGCACCTCTTTTTATAACATGGTGTCAATGCATAATATCTTTAAATATTTGTGTAATTCTTAGTAATTTATCAAAATGGTTTCCAAGATATATTAAATTTCCTAGTGGAAATCCATATACTAAAGAAACTCTTAAGAAGGTAAATTAAAATTTTATAAGAATATAAATATGCTATTGTTTTTTATTAATAATTATATTTTTATTATTTTTATATATTTATATATTTACAGGTACTTCCATTGTCTCTTCTTTTTATTGGAATGATTGCAACAAACAATTTGTGTTTAAAATATGTTGATGTTGCATTTTATTATATAGGACGTTCATTAACAACTGTATTTAATGTTATTTTTACATATTTTATGTTAGGTAAGAATCTCTTAAACATTAAAAAAATATATGTGCGTTTATGTATACATTTATGTAATAATTTATTATAATTTTACAGATCAAAAAACTTCTACAAATTGTATTGCATGTTGTGCATTTATTGTTATTGGATTTTGGCTTGGTGTAGATCAAGAACATGTTGCTGGTTCTTTATCTGTTCTAGGAACAATTTTTGGTGTATTAGGATCATTAACTCTTTCTTTGTATTCTATTCATATGAAACAAGTCCTTTCTACATTAAATCAAGATATTTGGTTACTCTCTTATTGTAATAATGCATATAGTATCATTATATTTCTTCCATTAATAATACTTAATGGAGAACATATTACAGTATACAATTATGATAAAATTGGATCTTTTTATTTTTGGTTAGTTATGATTATTGGTGGTATTTGTGGATTTGCTATTGGTTATGCTACAGCACTTCAAATAAAAGTTACATCTCCTTTAACTCACAATATTAGTGGAACTGCTAAAGCTTGTGTACAAACAATTTTAGCAACTTATTGGTTTAATGAAAAAAAATCATTTATGTGGTGGATAAGTAATTTTATTGTGCTTAGTGCTAGTGCAATATATGCTAAATTAAGACAACTTGATTTAAGTAAAAAATATAAAGAAGAAAAACAACAATTGCAAGTATGCAAAATGTAAATGAAATAAACATATTTCAATATATTAGAAAACTTACACACACACACACACACACACATACACATACAATAAATATATCAAAATTATATTAATTATAATTAATTATATTAAACATTTCATATTCAAATCAAAATATAAATAAATAATATAAATAATATAAAAAAAATATAAATAAATATATTAAAATTTTATTGTTTTAATTGTTTTTTGTATATATATATTAATTTATATTTTAATTGTTTTTTGTATATTATATTGTTTTTTATATAAATATAAATTTATATATAATTTTATATATTTTATATATATAAATAAAATTAGAATTAATTATTTAAATAAAAAAACAGTATTAATTATTCATCATTTTCTTTATTTTAGAAAAGTTCATTCAATTATAGTTTATTAAGATTTGTTAAAAATCTTATTTTATGATTATTTTTAATATATATAAATATATATAATAAAAAAAGAAATAATATATTTAATAAAAAAAAGATAAAAATAAATAATTTATTAAAATCTTGATGCAAGACCACCTCCACGACTATCTGAATGACTTGACATTAGATCTTTTCTTTTTATGATTGCATTTACGCTTTTTACTATATCAGTATCCAAATATGATATTGGTACTATTAAATTTAGTTGATTTTGTATTAATATATTTACAGAGTGTTTTTGATTATTTTCTATAGCAAGACCATTTGATGAAAAATAATATCTAAAATCATAAAATTTTTATTTAAGAATTAATATTATAATATATTATATTATAATATTATTAATATATTAATTTAATATTATAAAAAATAAAATCTATTTTATACCTTGGATATTCAATAGCTTCAGAAATATTTAATTGACGAATTATAATACTATACAATAATTGTCCAATAATTGATATATCATCAGTTCCAAATACTCCTCGTAATCCACATAACGCTCTTTCATTATGAAAAATTATTGGAACAAGCACAGATAAAGTATTATTGGTATCTGTTTTATCTAATAAAAAACCTGCATTTGACATATATCCGAGACCAAATGGAGCACTAAGTCCACTATAATTATATAATTATACAATTAATTATACAAATTATAAATTATAAAGATAAAATATAAAGATAATAGAATTTAGATAATATAATATTTTTATAACAAAAATTGTCTCTAAATATTGAAATAAAGAAAATTAAAGAAAATTTGGAAAATAAATATAAAAACGAAATTTTTCTTAAGAAAATAATATAAGAAAACACATTATAAAATAAAAAAATAAATTTTGAATTTGAAAAAAATTTTATCGAAAAAATTGAATTAGTATCTAAAAAACAATCTCAATGGAACTTAATTTTAAGTAATTCTGATAATAATTAGATTATAGTTATCTATTTTTTTACTTTAAATTATTATATATATATATAATAAAAAATTTGTTTTTGTTATTTTAAAATAAAATAAAATATATTTTCTATTATATTAAAAAAAAAACTATTTTTTACTTCTAATTTTTATACTTTTAGTTTCATATAATATGTTATAAGAAATCCTATTAAATTATTATGATACATTTAATATGATACTAACGTTATAATACAAACATAAGTATCTTCCCAATCCATTGCAATAACTCCAGTATATTTTTCTTTTTCAGCTAAAATTATTATTCTATATGAAATCAATATTAATAAAATTATATTAATTAATAAATTATTAATTAGTAATATATTAATTAATAAATTATATTAATAAAATTTTTTAATAAAATTAATAAAATTTATATTATAAAATGAAAATAAGAAGATATAACAAACCATATTGTTTTAATTGAAATGGAAATGAAACAACATTTATTAATGTTTTAGCTACTTGTATCTCTGTTTGTATTGTAGATGCATTGTCAGCTGATATTTTAAGATTTTCCAGTGCAATAATCATTGATTTTAATAATGAAATATGTGGAGGATAATATACTGCATGTTTATAAAAACTAGATTTTTTTGCTACATATATATCAGGTTCATATTTTACCAATTGCGGAAGTAATTTTGAAAGTTTAACTTTGTCATGTAGTAATTTCTGTGAAAAAGTTCCATTATATAATACTAAAAACAAAACAAATAAGTAATTAAAAGATATTGATAAAAAAATTTTAAATTATTAATAATTATAATAAAAATAATACCATTAGTTCCTTTCAATGCTACAGCATTTAATATGTTACTAAGATCAGGTAACTTTAATATATCTCCTGCACTAATATGTCCATATAAAATCTCATAATTGATGTTTTTTGATACTTCAGTAGCTAATTCCTTTGATACAACAAATCCTCTTTTTGCTAAAGATACAGAAGGTTCAACAATTTCATTCCATAATAATTTACCTTTTAATTTATGTGCATATTCTAATCCTCGTAATACTGCAGGTATACGTATTCCACTTTGTTCAAAATTGCCTAATAAATAGTTCAAATAA